TCTACAAGTATTCATTTTTATTAAGGATTACCATTGACCTTGTTTGCATTTAAAGTACAACTGTCAAAAGCAAATGATAAAGGTCAGATGGTGAAGGCATATCTTTTATATGACTCGTTTCTTAGTTCTTGAATTTTTTATGGATAAAAATCAGTATTTGGGCATATTAACTTGGAATTTGGGCCTATTCACTTAGAAAAAGTTTTCTAACATAAAGTAATATTTATTCTAAATTGGAAATATAGATCAAACTGGTATAATGACATTTTTAAAACACCTTATTTGTCCATTTGTCATCTATGTGCACATACAAAGATGTGTACAACAATATTAACACTTAAGAACCAACCATAGAAGAGTTTAGCATAATATAAACAATGACTTTTCTTAAAGAATATCAGTGATAAAGAAGAGAAATAAATCTAAAGGGGTGGATATTACCTTTGTCTTAAAAAACAAATTTTTTTTAAATGAGGCAGAAAAAAATCTTAATGAAACTAGTAATCGTAGGAAAATATCCTTTAAAAATCCTAAAAAAAAATTTACTGGTGCTATTTCGGTATGTACGGACACATATACACTCACACACATCATAAATTACATGTGTGGACAAAGAGTACTCTTTATATCTAGAAATCTATGCCACTGGGCAAGCTACCACTGTCATTTCCTGATTGTCCTGGTTTATCTCAATCTCTGATTGGGTGTCTAGGCACGTGATCTCACACCGAAAGTTTATTTGGATGGCTTTCGAGTCTTATCTCTTACTTCATTAAAAGCAACAGAGACAATGAGAAAGAGAAATTATGCCAGTTCATGTTGCTGCTGGCTGGTGTAAAATAATCATTTTTTTTCCAATTAAAGGACTTCTCCAGCTTACTAACTTGTTCCAGGCTCCAGCTGCCTTTTAGTTGTTTAACTACTAAATGTTTAGTGAATAGTTTGCTTAAAAAGACAAAAAAAAACTTAGCAACTGTCCCTTTCATTAGTTTAAGCACGAAACATCTTGGCTGGAAAAAAAAAAATTCAGCTTTAAGCAAACATTTTTCCCCACAAGCTTCAAGAGACCATATGGTTTTTATGCAGAACTATGAAGTAGTTTTGCCAGAGAGTGCCTATTCAATATTAAGTGGTTCAGAAATAAGCAAGCTCCAATTTGCTTCAAATATAAAAATTCAAGGTCCTCTTTGGATGACCCCAAGCATTACTGAGTGACTTGAAGAACTCAGAGTACTTGGGGATGGACCTTTTCCTGTGTAAGGGGATTTTAACTCTCTGGAACACACTAGAGTCTAAAGTAACTAGTCCTCCTCTAAGCATCTCCTTTCCTGTCCCTTATCTCCTGGCTTTGGACAAATACTGGAGAATCAGTTTTCACTTTCTCCACAAATGGGTGGCATGCTCTTCCTTACGTCCCATACATATATGCCACACACACAGCATCAAAGCTCTGGTTTCTAGAAGTTGAATGCAGGTTTTACGATCTTAATAGATTTATTCAACCAACATTTTTGGAATGCCAACTGCGCGTTAGAGACCACGTTAGGTCTTGGAAATAAGAAGTGAGCCTTGCCTCTTTAATGGTTTAGAAAGATGATTTTAAATTTTTGTGCTTCTTGTTTAAGGCAGCAGGTTTAACCATGGTGGGAAGGTAGGGGTGTGTGGAAAGGCAACCTACAATATTTTCAGTCACATTTCTTTGTTTTCAGGATGAAAACCTCCATGCACTTTATTATCGCCTTGTCTTTTTTTCTAATGATCTTATTTCTACTGGGAAGCCCTTTGTATCTCCTTTTCTACTCTCAAATCCCGGATCAAATGTTACCACTTGTTTAGTTTACTTTAACACCTCCAGTTATATACCTGTTAAATCTCTTAGCATATTGCATTGTAGTTACACTAGCTATATGAACAGAGCTTTAAAATTTCCTGATTCATATAAGCTCTCAAAAGGTGTGTATTTGAGAGAGGAAAAAGGAAGACAGGGAGATTTGTGCGTTTATCACTTTTCCTAAACTCTGACTTCCTGCAAGAGAAGGGCAGCGTGCTGTTTTTGTTGTTGTTGTTTTGTATCACCATTTCTATCCTTTTGTTCAGCAGAGCATTCATGTTTGTTGTTGAAAATTAGAGAAAATAAAAAACAGGCCTTGATTTACATATTATCCTTAAGAAGCTTGTGGTGTTCACCACCTTCTTGTTTGTAAAACGAAAATACACACAGAGTAACCATATTTCTTTATTGTCATTCCTCACGAATATTTAGATGGAGAGCTTTTAGAATAATGTCCCCAAATGTCTACTTTCTTGCATCCTAAATATGGATGCTTCTGTCTTACAAAAAAAGACAAAAATATTAATAATAGAGACCTCTAAGGAAACCCTACATCTATGAAGCCTTGCTAGAGTATTTTGAAAATTTGTGCTCTGACTGTGGTTAGAGGAATGGTGATCTGTACATTTAAATATGTCACTGTTGGTTAACAGATAGGAAAAAAACGCCAGTAAATAAGAGTTGTTATTAGCTTGTTTAAAAAGATGGTTTCCAAATGCAAATAAAGCATAGTGCCTATTTATGGAAATAGCAGCAAGCTTTCAGAAGCAATGAAATGTTGAAGGTGTTGATTGTTTTATTACAAATGTGAATTCACATTTAAAGAATTGTACACCATATGCCTACTTCAGCTTTCGAAATGTTCTTACTCTACTCTTTGTGAACATAGTCATTGTTTCATGATAATATTTTATTAATACTTATATATATTTAAACAGGTTGTTTTTTTTAAATCTCATTCTTTAAATGAAACACTGAGAACTTATAAAAACAGACATGGTGGCTGGGAAAAATTGCAAAGTCGTGCAATATAGAGATATTCTGGAAGGTGTGTTGCATATACATATTTACTACTTACACTATTACTACATCACCACTACTAACTACAACTACTAATGTAAATAATAATGCTGACAATGATAGCTTTTTTATTTGTATAGACTTTTACACATTACAAGCCTTTCACTTACCTATCTTTGATTCTCACAACAATCATGCCAATCATACCAGTTTTTCCTGAGGAAAAATTCAAAGGTAGCAAAGTATCATATGCAGGAAGATGTTCATCCCTGTGTTATATATAATGATGAAAACATGAAAATATAAATGCCAAACTTTATCAGAATGGTTCAATAAGTATGATCAATCCATATGCTACAAGGTTAAAAAGATTAATGCAAATGTCTGTATATCAAAATGGAAAAATTCTGGTGTTATTCTGTTAGAAGAAAACAAGAGAAATATAAAATTATATTTGTGGTACTACGACAACTATGGAAACATTTCTGTATATTTGTATTTGTACAGGTCTCAATGATAACATGGTCAAATATAAAGTTTCTTAGGGCATAGCACAGCAGTACAGTGTTTGAATTACTTTAGAGTTTCAATGACACTGATGTTGTTCATTATATCATATACGTGTTTAATATAAAATTAAATGCATAAGCCTGTAACAGTATTTGCTGAATACATATATTACGTAATGCATCTCTTTAGGGAAAGAGCTTTTATAAAAAAAAAAAAATGATTGTAGGTTTCTTTTCACCAGAATGTGATTCTCCCACTCCATCCCTTGTGCATCTGGATCACCAGGGGTGATTTCAAAGAATACTACTGCTCAGGCTGTACCCCAGGAGATGAATTTTCAACTGGTCTGGGATAGGGCCCAGGCATGGTTTTTGTTTATTTGTTTGTTTGTTTAAAGTTCTCCAGGTAGTAATTCTATTGTGCGGCTTGGATTGAGAACAGCTAAAACGATTATAATCCTAAGCAACTGAAAGTTTATGCTTTTAAATGTTAAGTTCCTTGAGTTTTCATCTCTAGCGTAAGACTTTCAAGATTAAGAATGCTATTTGGATGGTAGCATTTGGTCTGATTTAAGGAATCCTAAGTACAGAGTATCTTTATGCTATCAGAGTGACAAAGATTAAGAAATAATGATAAAATACTGTGTTGGTGAGAAATGAGCACTGCTATACACTGTTTATAAAAACGTAAATGGAATGTGGATTGATGAGCTTCACTCTAGGGCAGTTTGACAATATGTATCCAAAGCTCTAAAAACATATAAACCCTTTTATCTCTGGAATTCCATTTTTTAAGAATTTATCCTTAGAAAATAATTGAGCATATTGGCAAAGATGAGTTATCATAGTGTTGCTTACAATAGTAATTGTAATTTGATTATAAACAATCAAATATCCACAACTGTGGATTGATTAAATTTTGGTATATTGATACATGATAGTAGTAAAATGGCTCTGAAGTTAACACAAGTTAACATGGAAAGATATTCAAAACATATTGATAAAGGAAAAAAGTTACAAAATAACATGATTCTATTTTTGTTAAAATGTGTAATATGTGTATATATGTCTGCATGTGTATAAACGTACAGGTGGGAAAAGCTTGAGGAACTACGCACTAACATAGTAATAGTTATCTCCATAGGTATTTTTTATTTTCTGTTTTGTACTCTCATGCATATTCCAGTTATTTTTTTTTCACTAAAAGCAAATGGTAATATTATAAATCAAGATCAAAAACATTTTCTTAAATTAAAAATATATTTTGAAAAATAAAGCCTTGTTACCTTTATCCAGCCAATTGATTGAACTACAACATAGATTCCCCTATCCTCACTTTGTCCAGCTTGTGAAGAACAAGCTATTTGTTAGCTAGAAACAGCTATTTCTTTGTATTTTTTTAATATTTCTAAACTTCTCCAATATACGTATTTTCCAAGCCGATTAGGAAGTATAACGTTAGACTTAAGTTTTTTTTAACAGATTCCGACTCATCTCTGATTACAATTAACCTGATGTAAATCCTCAAAGATGACATGTCAGGAGTTAATTGAAATGTATCTTAATGTATTTTTATGGGGTCGTCTTCCTTAACACCCACAATTAATAAGTGGTTTGGTTTTTTTCCTTCTTCATTCCAGGCGGTTCAGGATCGTCATCCTCCATAGCCATAGCCGGCACCAACCACCCTGCCATCACCAAGACAACATCTGTTCTTCAAGATGGTGTCATAGTTACCACCGCAGCTGGAAACCCACTGCAAAGTCAGCTGCCTATTGGGAGTGACTTTCCTTATGTTGGCCAGGAGCACGCACTTCATTTTCCATCCAACAGCACTTCAAACAACCATCTTCCACACCCCTTGAACCCCAGCCTCCTCAGTCCTCTACCTATCTCTTTGCCAGTGAATCAACAGCATCTCCTAAGCCAGAATCTATTAAATATCCTCCAGCCTTCAGCAGGAGAAGGCAAGTCTGAGATCAACCTCCACCCTTTAGGTTTTCTCAACCCGAATGTAAACGCTGCTTTAGCTTTCCTCTCTGGTGACATGGATGGGCAGGTATTGCAGCCCGTTCACTTTCAGCTCTTAGCGGCCCTGCTTCAGAACCAAGCCCAAGCAGCTGCCATGCTTCCCCTGCCATCTTTCAATCTGACCATCTCAGATCTCTTGCAACAGCAAAATACCCCTTTACCTTCATTAACACAGATGACAGCCCCACCAGACCGCTTGCCAAGCAATCAGTCCGACAGCAGTCGTGCTGAGACCCTTTTAGCCAGCCCCCTGGGGAACCCTTTACCAAGCTTTGCAGGCAGTGACACTACTTTTAACCCCCTGTTCCTCCCAGCTGTCACTGGGGCCTCAGGATTAATGGCCTTGAATCCCCAGCTGTTGGGAGGTGTCCTGAACTCAGCATCGGCCAACACCGCTAATCATCCAGAGGTTTCCATAGCAACTTCCTCCCAGGCAACCACTACCACAACCACTGCATCATCAGCAGTGGCAGCACTGACTGTCTCAACACTTGGTGGGACAGCAGTGGTGTCAATGGCAGAAACATTGCTGAATGTATCTAATAATGCTGGGAGTACACCTGGTCCCGCTAAACTCAACAGTAACTCTGTGGTGCCACAGCTACTTAACCCTCTACTGGGGACAGGTCTGCTTGGTAAGTTAAATTGTTTCACAAATTTTTACAAAAGAAACGTTTTTCTAATTCTATTTTCTCCTCCTTTAAAAACTCCATTTTGTCACACTATTTTTTAAAAATGTTTTTGGTATGTCACAGCTTGCTTAAGGAACTAAATATAATAACACCCCCACACATCCATAGTTATACAAACACAAAAATGACCTTTTTCCTTTTCCCCTACTCTAGCAGTACTAAATATCACCTTAATCTGCTTTCTCTGATCTTCCAATTCTGATGCCACTTAAACCTAACCGACCTATCATTCTCTTAAGCCAAGTAGAGTCTTATTTTTCAAACAATAAAGCACAGGCCCATCTTAAAAATAACTTTTATTTGAATTTTAGTTGGTGTGGCATCACAGGGTTGGTATGAGCAGCTGCACTGTGGATGGAAACAGCTTGAGGAAGTGTTTTGTCCAGGTGATCCCTAAATAAACAAAACGAAATGCTTATCCAGCAAAATAAGAAACAAGGCATGAAAACATTCAAAGATAAACCTTGCCCAAGTTCAAGGAAACACACAGTTTCAATAGCTGCGGTTAGATTGCCTCAGACAGTATAATTCTTTAGAACTTTGTGGCTTAAAAGCAAAATCCTTCATGTGGAGTATTCTGTCACCAAAAGGTTAGAAAATAATGTCAAGTATGTCCAACTGACTCATGCAGGCAACTATAATATTAAGTACAGAGATGGTGTCCATAAAGTCTGGAAACAAGCAAATATACCTGATATTGCCACAAGCGCACCTTCAGTACATAAAAATTAATAATAATATATTTCTTGAGTTTATGGACACCTTTATAATACAGTTTATTAACTTCATGGTTTACTAGTTGCTATAGTTTATAAGCTCGATTTGGCACTGAAATCAACAGTTAAATAATTTAAAAAGCATTACAGATTTACATATTTCAAGTTATAAGACAATTTCAATGACATTGTCTTCAAGATCATTTCACTGTAATTTCCAAACAAGTTCAACGTGAGTTCTGAATATAAACGTAGTCATTAACTAATCCCGTCTGATTGTATAACATTTATTTTAATGATTACAATGAATTCTTTGTATTGTTAGCTTTCGTTACAATTTTAATTTTAGGTGACCAACCTTTTACCTAAAAACAAAATATGTATTTCTAGGCCAAATCTGATTTTATTTGGTGGTATTTATTGATGACTGTGGCTTGAGAACTAAATTTTATAAATAAGGCCTATTCAGACCCATTCATTTTAATAATTTGCTCAAAGACTTATGATTACTAAAACATTTTAGGACTAATTTCAACCTTTAGTTTCAAGTGCTCTAGAAAAAATAATTTCAAGGAATTGTATAACACTAAAGCTCAATATATAGGGATTGGCTAATGGTTAGAGCAAAGACTAAGTAGTGTCTCCAGGATATAAAATCAAAAAAACTGATTATGAGAGACAAAATTAAGTAATAAAACTCCTCTTTATTTACCACTTAGGTAGACCTTGAGGAGAAAAAGAGAAAAGAATGACCACGTCAGGTCTAGTTTTCAGTTTTTGTTGCAGGAATCCTCAGGTGCAAAGATAGGCATAGGATCTACAATGAGTCACATTGACTTACATTTTATGTCTTTCAAACTATAGGTGACATGTCCTCAATAAACAATACTTTGAATAACCATCAACTGACTCATCTGCAGTCGCTGTTAAACAACAATCAGATGTTTCCTCCAAATCAGCAGCAGCAACAGCAACTTCTTCAGGGGTACCAGAACCTGCAGGCCTTTCAAGGACAGCCCACAATTCCTTGCGCGGCTAACAGTAACCCCATGGCTTGTCTGTTTCAGAACTTTCAGGTACTCTCCTTCCCTGGGTTCCTCGAATAGCAAACAATGTCTAGGTCTGTTGAGACACTTAATTGGGGAGAAGAGAAGAGACGGGAGAAGGAGGTCATGCGTCCTCTCACCTCCACTTATTATTATTTCCCGATAATGAATATTGTTCAACATTCTAGTCTTTTCATGAATGTTATTTTATTTTGTCGGAGGCATCTCTGTGGTCCTTTCACAGCTGATGGTAAAAACTAATCATAGGATCCTCTTAAACCCTTTCATAGTTTCCATTGCTCTCCTGATTGAAATCCGTATCTTCCACCTGCTGGCTTGGCCTCAGTCACCAGCCCCAGCCCTTACCACCCACCCTGGCTTCAACCACTTAGTCTTTCTTTAGTTCTACAAGCTGAATACATTCCTGAAAGATTAAGGAGATGAAAAGAGTAACAGTTAATAAATAAAAAGAGAAAATATAGAAGTATTTTTTAAATAATCTTGAGGTAGAGAAGGTTCTTTCAGTAAGGCACAAAATCAAGAAGTCAATAAGAAGTAATAGGGTTGAATATATAAAACTTTAAAATCTCTGTATGATAAGGATATTCTAAATAAACTTAAAGACAAGTGGCACCTGGCAGAAAAATACTTGCATAATAATGGCAAATAATTGACATTCATTACAGAAAAACTCCTACAAATCAGGAAGAAAAAAGATAATTGATTAAAAAAATGAGCAATAGATCTGAACAGAAAATTCACAGAAAATGAAAAATAAATTATTAATGAACATATGAAAAGAGTAATCAGAGTTATACAAATTACAACACTAATGTGTCCATCAGATTGATTGATATCCCTTGCTGACAGTAGTGTGGAGAAATGGATTCTTTTAGATACATTTTTGGTCTGATTGTATGCTGATACAGTTCTTTTGGCGGTTAATTTGATAGTTTATCAAGTTTTTAAATATACATATCCTTTGATGCAGAAGTCCAACCTCTTTTTATCTATTTTAGAGAAATCTTTCAATGTGAACAAAAGGGCACATGCTATAATGTTCATTACAACATGATTTGTGGCGGCAAAAATTAGAAACCTCTTAAGTGTCCATCAGTCTGGAAATAGTTAAATATATTATGATAAAACTGTTTTTTAGTAGTTTAAAAAGTCTAGATAGATTTATATAACTGATATGGAAAGATCCACAAGAATGCGAGACTTTAATACTGTGATATTATAGAACAATACTAAAATACTATACCATTTATGTGAAAGAAGAAAGGAGAGAAAACTAGATATATACCTACACACCTTAATGTATTAAACATAAATGTCTGCAAGGATGCACTCCAGCACTGATTATTTCTGAGAAAGGAAATGGAATTGGAGTGGGATGGGAAAGTCAGGTTTGGGTGGGGAGTAGTGGTAAAGAACATTTTTATCTTTTTTGACAATGAGAAAATATTCAGATACATCTTGTGTAATAAAATAATTTAGAAGGGAGGAGAAAGTGCCCAGTCATGTCACTGAGAATCTCAAGCAAGAAGATAAAGCCTGAAGAGAATCCCCTAGATTTGGGACATCACCGCTAACAGGTAGAATTCAGTTTTCGTGGAGTGGTAGGAGCACAAGACAGATTGCAATGGATGGAAGGATAAAAACATTAGGAATTAAAGAGTGTGGATTACTCTTTCAAAAACTTAACTACGAAGAACATAAGAGTAAAAGGGTGGTGCCCCAAGGCAGATGTAGGTTGAAGCAAACTTTTAAAATATGGAAGCTATGCACATGGTTGTATGCTAAAGGAAAGAGATCCCCCCTCCCAAAAAAGTGGAAAAGATTGAACATTATGAAGAGAAGGGATGACAGATGAGGCAAAATCCCTGAGGAGTGCCTTGGGATCCAGAGCATAAATGGAGGACTTACCCTCAGAAAGCCGAAGAGGCCCCTCTTACACTGGGAAGCAGGGCAGGATTTGGGGCATGTATAGTTGCAGAGAAGTATGTGCTGTGAAGGGGTAGGGAGTAGCAGAGTATAAGAACTACGAGAATTCTTAACCTATCAACTCCATTTTCTCTGTTAAGTAAGGTTATCCACTAAGAATAGTGCTGGAGATGGTGGAGCAGCCAGCTGGAAGAAGTGGATAAAGATTTAAATAGTTGTGAAGGAGAATGTTACCTAACTAGAGGATCATCGGACTGATGGAAACAATAAGCCCCCAGCTGTAGTTGAAAGCCCTAAGTTCCTAGACAGATACTCAGCATTCTCACTGTGGATATAGACGGCAGGCAGTTAAATTGATCCCAGATTGAGATTTTATCTGGTGGGTGTAGACAGTGGGAGAATAACAAGAGAGTGGTTGATGTGCTGATGGATCCCAGGTTCTGGTTTAGTGGGAAAGGATGCGAAGACAAGAAGGGAGAAATCACTGGGAGAAAATCCAAAGTAGCAAGGGTCTGGAGCAGAAATTTTTAGGTGGGGTTGGTGCAATTAGAATAACCTTAGGGACTTTTTCAAACTGCACTCATCCTTCCTGTCCTGAGCATTGATATTCTTACCTGCTGGGCATTCCCTCCCTGCCTCTCTTTCCAGTTAAGAATCAGTTCTATAGAGAGCCATTGTCACTGCTGACAGCATGGTGGTGTCCCCCAGTCAGTAGCCTGGTAAAGTTAAAGAGTAGGTGTCACTATTCTATCTGAACTCTTCAAAAATATAGTGTTGTATCAGAAATATTTTATCATTAAGAGTGTATACATATATATATATATATATAGAGAGAGAGAGAGAGAGAGAGAATTTTCTTTTGGCTTATGTTGTATTTCAGTAGAAATATCAGTGACTTAGAACTCCTTTTCAAAATTTGGTTCCCTTTGTAATTTGAGGAGTGCTGGTGACTGACTTGTTTCTCTCTTTGATTTCCAATGTTGTAAAACCTGCAATGACACTTAAATATGCGGAGTCATGGGGCACCTGGTTGGCTCAGTCTGTTAAGTGGCCACCTTTGGCTCAGGTCATGATCTCAGGGTCCTGAGATTGAGCCCTGCATCGGGCTCCCTGCTCAGTGGGGAGTCTGCTCCTCCCTCTCCCTCTGTGTGTGTGTGCGCGCGCGCGCTCTCTCTCTCTCTCTCTCAAATAAATAAATATTTTTTTAAAAATATGTGGAGTCATTACCTGAAAACAGTTTGTGTACAACCACCTCAACTTTAACTTTTCTAGAGAATGTTTGGTAATGATGAGTTCTTTATTTTTTATCTATCTATCTATTTTAGAAATATATCATTTATTTGTATTTTTTAAAAAGATTTATTTATTTGAGAGAGCAAGGAGAGAGTCCATGAGCAGGGGGAGGGGCAGAGGGAGAAGGAGAGAAGCAGACTCCCCACTGAGCACAGAGCCCTGACCAGGGGCTTGATCCCAAGACCCGGAGATCACCACCTGGGCCGAAACCAAGAATCTGACACTCAACTGACTGAGCCACCCAGGTGCCCCAATGATGAGTTCTTTAAAAAAAAAAAATCTGTGTGATGATTTCAACCAAAGAAACTACCCAAATATAATCAAGACATAAACTTTTCCATGCAGTGACTTTTTATTTCATTTTGAGCCTTGTTCTTTCTTTATATTTCTCTCCTTGCTACATTTGTTTGCCTTTTGGTAAATCTTAAAATTATGGTCTTTCTTTTTGAGGTCTTTAAAAACTTTTCTCTCTCTCTCACTTCTTCCTGTCTGTTTCTTCAAGGTGAGAATGCAGGAAGATGCAGCTCTCCTAAACAAAAGAATAAGCACTCAGCCGGGGCTCACGGCACTTCCTGAGAATCCAAACACTACACTTCCACCTTTCCAAGATACATCATGTGAGTTGCAACCGAGGATTGACCCATCTCTTGGTCAGCAGGTGAAGGATGGCCTCATTGTGGGTGGCCAAGGTGATGCTTCTGTAGATGCCATTTACAAAGCAGTTGTGGATGCAGCCAGCAAAGGAATGCAGGTTGTCATTACCACTGCAGTCAACAGTACAACTCAGATCAGCCCCATTCCAGCTCTGAGTGCCATGAGTGCCTTCACTGCCTCAATTGGTGACCCATTAAGTCTCCCCAGTGCTGTCAGTGCGGTCATTCATGGACGAAACATGGGCAGTGTCGATCATGATGGTAGGCTGAGGAATGCAAGAGGGGCTCGGCTGCCCAGGAATCTGGACCATGGGAAAAACTCAAATGAAGGAGATGGGTTTGAATATTTCAAGTCAGCAAGTTGCCACACATCCAAAAAACAGTGGGATGGGGAGCAAAGCCCTGGAGGGGAGCGAAACAGGTGGAAGTGTGAGGAATTTTTAGATCATCCAGGCCATATCCACAGTAGTCCTTGTCATGAGAGGTCCAACAATGTCTCTACACTGCCATTTCTGCCTGGGGAACAGCACCCGGTACTGTTACCACCAAGAAACTGTCAAGGGGATAAAATTCTGGAGGAAAATTTCAGGTATAATAACTACAAAAGAACTATGATGAGTTTTAAGGAGAGACTAGAGAACACTGTGGAAAGATGCGCACACATTAATGGGAACAGACCTCGACAGAGTCGGGGCTTTGGAGAGCTGCTGAGCACCACAAGGCAAGACCTGGTCCTAGAGGAACAGTCTCCAAGCTCCTCAAATAGTTTGGAAAGTTCTCTAGTCAAAGACTACATCCATTACAACGGAGACTTTAATGCCAAAAGCATTAATGGGTGTGTGCCTAGCCCTTCAGACGCTAAAAGCATTAGTAGTGAAGATGACCTAAGGAATCCAGATTCCCCTTCTTCAAATGAGTTGATACATTATAGGCCAAGGACGTTCAACGTTGGCGACTTGGTCTGGGGCCAAATCAAAGGACTTACTTCTTGGCCTGGAAAATTAGTAAGAGAAGACGACGTTCACAACTCATGTCAACAAAGCCCCGAGGAAGGGAAGGTATACCAATCTTTATCCATTGTCAAATACTAACCTTTGTTCAGATATCAATTGTTATTTTTTGTTGTCATCACTTTGGATTCTTTGGATTTGAAATTAGGATTCTTCATGACTCATTGAGGTCTCACAAACTTCTGGAGCATAAAATGAAGAGGGGATGGTTATAGTCACCAAAATGTCATATCAAGGGGTGAGTTGTGAAGCCTTTGTAGATCCCACTAGGGCCTCTAACCCAGGAACCAGATTTCCAGAATTTTGTTAAGTCTGCCTTCCTTCCCTGCATGTACCTAACTCTTCATTCCATACACAGAGGATGAAGGCAAGTGGCAAGGGCTGGGAAAAAATCTGGTGGCCTTTGGAGTCTAGGAGTGTGGCAGAGGTAGGGTAACAGGAAGTGCTGGGAGATGGCGTCACACGGGACACATAGAGCCGAGGAGGGGGTAAAACCCAATGCAATTGCAGCCATTTCTGGAAGCAGCAGGTAACGTCTGTGTTCAGAATGGTGTCTCCTTTCAGGAAAAGTTCTGGGCCTTTATAACATATGGAAATGTTTAACCCCACAGTCTGGTTCTACTTAACACAATCTGATCATATAAATTAAATGAAAACTTCTCCATGAGACTACCATTCAATTTAGAAGAAATTAGTAGGGGTCTTCTGGGTTTCCCCCCACACACACACAATTGGTAGAATTGGCTCACTAGGCGAGAAATATGCAGAATGTTTAAAGCCGATAGAAAAATTTATATCTGACCAGGAGGAGATAATTATGCACATTCTCCACATATGATGAGGAAACATAATTTTTCATCTCCTTAGGAAATAAAAATTACTCTTACAAATATATTCTCTTAATTATTACTCTTACAAATTATTCTCTTAAGGAGTATATTATATAAAGCTATTTCACCTCTGTTCAAACCTCCACTGGCACTTAGGTTTAATGGCAGGAAACCAAAAACATTTTTGCCAGCACAATAAAAAGATTGTCTTTCTCCAAATGACCAGAAGGTCCTTATACCCGTTGCTTTTAATGCCTAATATATACTTGTCAGGATACGCTCTGGGCGTAGTGTTTCTACGTTTGATAAGAAAATGAATTCCATACCCCTATTCACAAAATATTTTATTCTCTAATCTCTCTGAGACCAGACAAAACATTATTTAGGTTGATAAACCTAAATATTTTTGACAGTTTATTCAAAAAGTAATTAGAAACAGCAAAATTGGGCTTTTATGATATAAATGGACTGCTCCAAATATAAGATGTAGACACTGATCTGTTTTACAATTTTTGTGCAAATGAAACCAAGTCTTTTTTAAGTGCCATTTTACAAAAAGCTTAACGAAAGAAAAGATTATGGCCTTCCTTTCCTGGAAACATTCTTCCTATCTTAAATGCCTTGTCTAAATATCTTTTTATGTCCTCAGGAGAATAAAGGCATGTACTTTTAACACATTTCACATTAAACAATGGTTCTAATCTTCTGATTAGTCTGTGTTTGCAAACTCCTGGGATTGAGTTACTCACCGATGTTTGGGGAGATACACTTTAAAAAAAAAAACATCATCTGAGAGTCCAAGAAACATTTATTTTGCTTCATTTAAATAAGCAACTGGTTTTCACTCACTATACAGTAATAAGTGTTTTTAAAAATCCAGATTCTTCTTCCTTATTGGAGGCAATACATGAATTTCTAACAGGGAACATAAAATTGTTTCTGTCAACTCAAATATTCCCCTCACCACCCCCACCATCTGACATTGTAATTTTGCATTCTGACAGCCTTAGTATCAAAACCTTGATATCATGACACACTAAAAATATTTTTAGTAATTCAAAAAAATAATTTAAAGCACACAATTAGAGGTGCAAAACTGAAAACATATAATAAAATATTAATGATAACACATGAAATATTTATCTATCATTAAAAAGGAAGGTATAACAGCCTTAAAAGCTCTAGGGCACTTAACATTTTTAAAAAACCTCTGATCTTCCCAGGACCTACCTCACTTTTGCACATTAAAAAAACAAAACAAAGTACTATTTCACAAGCACTCTTTTTTCTTCTATAGTTCACAAAACAAAGGAAGGGCTTCCTCATACCTTATTTAATGATGCCCAGCAAGCCAAGCAGTTTTCTCAATTTAGAAGACCAGAAAAGGTGAAATTGCAAACACAAGTCTGTCTGACTTCAAGGCAGATGGCCTTTGCTTGATGTCTTGGTAATCCTGGTTCATCAAGAAAAAATTAAACTATATTCAATATCTGTGTAAGACAAAGCATAGTCTTTTTGAAAAGATTTCCAGTAATACATTTTTAAAATTTGTACTCTCAGTCCGGTGAACAAACTGTCATGATGTAAATTTTATTTACATAGAACCCCTTAGTCCTCAGCAATGTTGGATAAATAAAGTCTTGTGCATTACTAATCAGATTTCTTTAAAAAGGTAAGCTGTGCATTAGGGTCTCTTTCATATACTGTGGCAATGGCTGACATTTTAATAAAGTCGAGAGAGAAAGAAAGAGACTGACTCCATAAACAATTTGTTTATTATAGTAAAATCTAATTAATTCCACCTTGCTAATATGGAATGTGGGACCACATCCCCCTAGTGTTTATCTTTGTAGTGTCTCAGAAGAAAAGGTTTAGTAAACAATTTTTTTACACATTATCATTTTAAACCTTCTTAGATTCTCAGTTTTTCATACTATTTCCATGTCCACAAAGTAAATTAATCCAAGATTCTGTCAGATCCCTCCAGATAAAATCTATGTAACTCAAGTGTTAGAATAGATTTATCATCTTATCTCTCCCCACCCCCCACATCGCAAAAACCTATCATTTATTTTTCTGTTGCAGTCTTTGTTCTCAGCAAACCACTTCAAATTCTTTTCAGAAGTAGGCAAATTTTTTTTTTAAAAAAAAGCAATTAATTAGCAGTATTGCAGGTTTCTAATTCAAAGTAAGCTGGGCACCTCTCTTGTTTTTAGGTTGTATGGGTGGTCTCTGGACTGACAGATCAATGCTGTGACTGACTGGAGCACTGATATTGGCCAGGGGCTGAGATGTCCATGATCTCCTTAAGTTGATACTTTAGCCAGCTGTCGTGATAGTAAATGACCCGGTCAGTTTAGGATCTTAGGAAGGCATTGGTTTTTTTTTTTTGTTTGTTTGTTTTGTTGTTTTTAAAGATTTTATTTATTTATTCATGAAAGACAGAGAGAGAGAGAGAGAGAAAGAGGCAGATGGAGAAGCAGGCTCCCAAGGAGCAGGGAGCCCAACGCGGGACTCGATCCCAGGACCCTGGGATCATGACCTGAGCCGAAGGCAGACGCTTAACCTTCTGAGCCACCCAGGCGCCCTTAGGAAGGCATTGTTAATATTTGGTGGGGTATTAAGTGTAGCAGCATTACTAATAATGCATTAGAACAGTTCTGCCCTTTTGGAGATTGCTTCCTAAGAGGTTTTATTTCAAAACATCAAACACTGTATGAACATAGTCTACAGAGAACTAGAGAGAACACAGAGTGTGGCAGAAAGAGGCACGGGCTTTGGACATTCTCACATGAGCTTAATCCCAGCTCTGTCAGTTCCCTAAATGCTCTTGGGTAGGTGTATTAATCTCCCTGAGTTGCGGGGCACCTGGGTGGCTCAGTCGGTTAAGCGTCTCCCTTCGGCTCAGGTCATGGTCCCAGGGTCCTGGGATGGAGCCCCGCATCGGGCTCCCTGCTCGGTGGGAAGCCTGCTTCTCCCTCTCCCACTCCCCCTGCTTGTGTTCCCTCTCTCACTGTCTCTCTCTGTCAAATAAATAAATAAAATCTTAAAAAACAAAACAAAACAAAATCTCCCTGAGTTGCAATCTCTTCACCTCTCAGGTGGGAATGGAATATCAGTTCCTACTCAGAAGATGTTTTAAGAGTTAAATGAGATACCATAAATAGATTATCCAGCACACAAAAGAGGCTCAGTAAAAATTAGCCTCCTTGCCCCTGTTCTTTTTATGTTAGACAACCTTATTAATTTGGATGTCACCGCTCTGGAACTGTGGTAATTTGAGTTTAGTTATTGTTTACCTATGCATTATCCATGAATAAAGGATTTACTAACCAGGTGGAGGGTGAGAGAATTATAATGAATATATTTAATGAATGAAATAGTTTATGACCATTTTTAATGAAGTTCAGCACATCACATACAAATTGACATATCTGATTAAAAATTATTAGCTTTTCATTTCAAGCAGGAGTTCTACTTGGAAGCATTTTCAAGCACTTTGTTCAGTGAGCCTGAAAGTCCCTCTCCCAACAATGTTTCTAAAGAATACCAACTCAGACTTTCTTCCTTTATTTTCTTACACCACTCCCACACATACAACAATATTAATTAGTAGAGATGCTTAACAGTCCATGAAAAGTTGGGCTGAATCGCCCCTATAGAATACTGTCCCAATATCGAAGCTATGTGAAACACTAAAGAATATTATGTGTCTGGTACTACACTGTTTCTAAAGTAGTATCTCCTTACCCTCTAATACATTCCTTTCTTTTGTTATCAGTTTCTAATGAAGGATGGTCTGAAAGGTATTTATACTTTATCTCAATAAATGATACAAGTTTCTCTCTGAACCATGAATCCTTTATAGTTAAGGTTCAGTGGCCAAGAATAAGACCTCAGTGCTGAGTTCCAGTACATCATCACAGCCAGAGAAATGCACTGCCAGATCTTGGCACAGTATTAGGGAATTCTTGGAAAGGAAAATGGCCTCCACTGGCATTACACCTATCCAACATAAAGTGCAAACTTTTTTTTTTAAGATTATTTATTTTAGAGAGAGAGAGAGTCTCCAGTGGACTACCTGCTGAGTACGGAGCCCGATGTAGGACCCTGAGATCATGACCTGAGCTGAAATTAAGACTGGCCGCTTAACCAACTGAACCACCCAGGCACCCCAATGTGCAAACATTTTAAGCAGATGCAACTGTGGGGGAAAATGGTTATCTTTATATACTTGTTTCAATAATTACTTAAAAATAGGAAAAGCGCCCCTGTTTTCTAAAATATATTTTGTAATTATCATCTGCCCTCTCTGATCTTACATTAACTAGCCTAAGAGTATTGACTGACACTCAAATGATAATCAAAAAAAATTTTTTTGAGTGCATAATTTTCTCTCTCTTTGAACATTTCCCATTGGTCTTCATATTTCTTTTTTTTAAGATTTTATTTATTTATTTGACAGAGAGAGACACAGTGAGAGAGGGAACACAAGCAGGGGGAGTGAGAGAGGGAGAAGCAGGCTTCCCACGGAGCAGGACTCCCAGGACCCTGGGATCATGACCTGAGCCGAAGGCAGATGCTTAATGACTGAGCCACCCAGGTGCCCCGGTCTTCATATTTCATTGCTGGTATATTCAATGTGTATTCTGACTTGAGCCAAATTTAGGAAAGGATTTATTTCTGGACTGGCACCACAATGTTTCTCTTCAGGGAAACACTGGTTGTTGTTGGACAGGTAGAGACCTCTGATTACCCAGAAAAGTTGTACATTTCAGTGCAACACCACATGAATAAATGAAGACATGTTTTTAAAAGTAGTGGGCAGGGTACTCTCTCTTTAGAGTCACACTTTGTCTTGTTATGTGTGGTTGTATTTGGCAGGTAGAGATAAAAATAGTTCTCTGAATAGTCAGTCATTCAAATGAGACAAAATTCATCATTATTAAAACTCATAACCAAATTTATTTTGGGACAATACACCTTCTATATGTCAGGTGAGTATCTCTCTCTCTCTCTCTCTCTCTCACACACACACACACATGTTTTGACAGTGTGAAACATGACCAGAGAGAGCTGACCATCGCATTTTAGGGATGTATAACTGAAGTATGAGCTCTCTTGTGTTGTCTAAACATTCTACTTTCAAGAACATTCTTTCTGTGCGTGATTATCAGCATTAACTGTTTGTATTCTTTGGTACTATAATTCTCTGTTGAAAGTATGCTTTGTGTATTGCCATTGCCTTAGGTATCTCCTTAACTACTGTTGAGAATGATCCTTGTCTCTACATTTGATCACCAACCACAGTATTTGAGCTGCATTGTGGCTGGTGGGATGGCAGGGGCAATCAATGCTCTGTAGCAACTGGATCTCCTTGAAATGGGAGGAAAATAGTTTTTGAAAAATAATGTGCAAGATAAAAGCCAGGCTGACGAAGTCAGTGCCTGATCAAAATTTGGAAGATAATAACAATGAAGAACTGGGTAAGACCAAAAATGTGAATATTAACAAAATGACTAAACAGAGTAAAAGCTTAGTTAAGACTGTGAATGTCCCTGAAGTGAATTGTGAAATATTGTAACCTTTTTCCCTGGAACAAGGATAAAGAGGGAAAGGAGGCCTATCTCCATTTACCAATAAACTGAGACCCACACGAAGTTCTTGAGCTCGTCCGTACAGTTTTCAAAAGGATGGTAGCAACTGGAGTTTGGTTTGAGGCAGGTACAGGCTTCTGACATGAACTTTTAAACAGTGCTGCTTTAGAAGTAGGAGCTTATCTAAAACATTTAATTGCATGTATGGGCAGTGGATCAACATGAAATCTGTTGTACATTTAGAATAGATTTACTCTAGTCCTGTAGTGTACTTTTCTACTACTTAAAACCCTGCTTCCAAAGTAAAGAGGAAAGGAAACACACACACACATACACACGCACACAAAGCCTCACATAATGTCACCGACAAAAATCGTTAATGTGTATTTGGTTAGTTCATTTGAAAAGAAAAATGGGATTCACTTTCGGAATTTTTCCATGAGTACTAGTGATGGAAAATTAGATTCATCCTTTATTGTCACAGGTGAGTCAACTCTTTGAATCATTTCTTTATCATTAATTCCCACTTTAAAAAAAAAATGTTGCAATATTGCCTTTAAGTTAGCAGGACTTTTTCAGGTGGAAGATTTTTTTAAATATTTACTGTTTAATTAATGTTTGACAATAATGATGCCTCATGTTTGCTTATTGTTTCAGGGCTGTATTTCCCAGACTTCAGCTGAAGTTGCCTGCTCCCTACACCCCCCCACCCCCCTACCCCCTGCTACCTCTCTGTAAAAAAAAAATAGGAAAAAAATGCATGCAATGTTCCTTTAGGGGCTGCTGGGTGACTCAGTCAGTTAAGGGTCCAACTCTTGATTTCAGCTCAGGTCATGATCTCAGGGTCGTGAGATTGAGCCCTGCATCAGGTTCCATACTGGCCATGGAGTCTGCTTAAGATTCTCCCTCTCCCTCTACCTCTGCCCCTACCCCCCCCAATGAAAACCAAAAATAAATTTGCATGCTTACCTGTACTATTACTTAGTTAAAAATTTTATTCAGATTCATTTATTATTTATTTATTTATTTATTCATTCATTCATTCATTCGTTCATTCAACAAAGACTTTTTGGACTCATACTATGAACTAGGCACCATTCAAGCCACTTTCAAATAACTCCTTCAGTCTTATTCTAAGATATAATACGTGTGAAATCATAGGTGTAACGTTTTTTGTATTTTTCTAATATAAACTTATATGAATATATATAAACTGATATATGACTATAAAGAGATTAAAAATGTTTAAAGGTCTGTCCTTGTATCACATGCCACTAATGACCTTTTGGTGCTTTGGTGTTTAGAAAGTGCCCAACCATCCCTGTTCTACAGCTGAGGGAGCTGAAGCTCAGCAAAGTAGCGTTCTGAAGGACACAGTGACAGGCAGTTAAGCCAAGCCCCACCCCGATCTCCCAGCTCTAAGCATAATACTCTGCACAGTGCCATTCCCCCAACAACAGGAGCTGACGACATGAAAAAAGGTGTGAAGAATGAAAAGGTGGCTTGAGTTCAGCTGTACTGCCTCTCTTAGGAAACCTGGGATGTGGCTTGTACTCAGTCCTTTGACCTTTATGTGACAACTTTGCCTCACAACTAAGTAGCGGCAAAGTAAATCACCCAGAAATTCAATCCCGTTACCAGGTTTAATGCCTGCAGGAAATTTTGACATCATCTTTACTTAATAGGCTCTATTCAACAGTGGTCTAGGATCTTTGATCCAGGCTCTTCTAATATATACTCTCCCTCACTTTCAGAGGGTCAGTTTGGCTCTCTGAAAGGTTTGCGTCTCCCTTCGTGGTAGATTTAAGTTACTTCTAAGATAGACTACGTGCTACTGCATTGACCCCAAATCAAACTTAATAAAATTACCAAATTTTAATATGTGCCTTGTGAACAAAATAGACAACCAGAGATTCAGACTTGTTCAGAGAAGTCTTAAACTTCCACCTTATAAGAGTATATGGGTATGTTTCTGGGTATGTTGCCAACCCTACTGAACAGGCTATAGGACTATGCGTGTTGAAGAATTGTGATACCTAAAGAATGTGAATGAGTGAAAGAGGGTTTTAGGAGTAAAAAAAATATTCATTATATGTGTATATTTGTACATGAGATAATATGTGAACTATAAATACACATAATTTCTGGTAATTTTTTCTAATTCTTAAATGACATAGGTGTAGGGAGTTATATCATGTTGGTCATTACTGTTAACATCATCATTACTAGAGTGAGACTATGGGACAGTTATGAGTAAAGGTACATTATAAAGTCCTCCCATGATTTCTCACCAAGATAGGAATTAAATAATTTATGGAACTCCTGGCTTATGAATGTACAGGAATATAAGGTTATAATTACAGATCAAAGTATTACGTGTTTTAAATTACTTGCTCCTTCAGTGTAAGGTTTATAGAAATATTTGTGTGTTTATCCTTTTTAATGTTACATTTATGTATTTGATTTCTCAGTACTTTCTTCATTTACAAGTTAGCTAAGTAATTTATGAGGAAGTATTCATTAAATCATTAAATATGATTTCTGTTTGACTAGAAATTGAATTTATTTTGTTCTTCTCCAATACCATCTTAGGGGGTGCTGGTATCTTTAAAAAGTTTCTTGAATATTGCATAAGTGCATGAATAATTCCCTATAAACAACATATGCTTTTCATATATTTCACAATTCAGTAGAGTACTAAAATTCTGAAACTAAATAAGCTAAACATTTACCTCTGGATATGTATGATCTTGCCATATCAGAAATAAACAGTTATGTGTATCTTATTTGTATTTAGTTTCAGAAAGCACCATCATTGCTTTCTCTTTCAAGGTCATTGAATCCTTTATAAATAATATTGTTCATTATAGAGTGCCTTACATACAGCCTTAGAGGCAATTTAAATGAAAAAAATTGCAGTAGAGGATTAGTTCAGAAAAATCACCAGAAAATTACCCAAGCATAAAAAATTTTAAAGATAATTTTGGTCATGTGTTATCTAAATTTCTGTAAAAATCTAATTTGTTTTAAAATAAGTTGACCTAACTTTTTTAGTGTGTGTGTGTGTGTGTGTGTAAAATATATACTTCAATGTATATTGTAGTTGGTGTGGTGAAGAGAGCTTGAGCGAGCACTTTGGAGTCAGACCTGAGTTTCAGTGCTGGCCATGTTACTTAAATTCACTGAGTCCCATCTGTAAAATAACAAAAATAATACTAGTTTGCAGTATTACCATATTAAATGATAAAACAGTGCCTTTTCTATAATAAATGTACAAGAAATGTTTTTATTGCCCCTTATTCCTTATTTAATTAAAAATAAAAATTGAAGATTAAAAAAATAGTTTTACCTAACTTAGTTTTTAAGAATTGAGACCAGTGGGGTAAGTCTTCATATTGATGTCTTGCTTTGTTTCACTGTGAATCTTTCTGTTGCTTGCATCAATCCCTTCTGAGATCTTTCACTACATCAATTTGTGTCTACTATAAGTTTATGTTACAGGAGAGCTTCCTTCCTACTGCCAAGGGTGGGAGGTCATTTAAATATAAGTGGAATTAGCCATAGATTACATAAATGTAATGTGTGAAATATCTTTCATTTTCTCTTCATGTGAGTGAATACAAGATGAAACCTCTTTTCTAACATAAAATGTGAAAATGTATACAGGCACCATTTTTTTAAAAAAACAACACATGGATATACTCATCTTAAGCTTTTCCAGTTATTTCAGCAAGACACTTTTCTTCATGGCTTCTGTGAAGTGTTATCAGAACAAAATTGTCTCTTGTTCTAGCACACAAGAAATTGGGTGTCCCCAATGAACTTGTGTAATTAGATATTTGCATCCTTTAGGACAAAATACAAAAATCGTGAAAAGGAAAATGTTTCATTGTTCGACTGTTTTTCTCATTGAGTATTTAGAAATGCTTGTTTTCAAACTTGAAAAGGAAACCCTTTGTTACTCATTACTGAGTACTCAATTTGAAGGGGTCAAAGAAAAATTATTTATAAATGATATTCATGTCAGGAAGATTTCAAGAGAAAAGTTAATAATTTCCTTGCTTCTTAGTATTTATTTTCTTACCCATGAGGCATTTTGGCAGCCTCTCAAATTTTTATATAAAAGTAGCATAGGGTTGGGGAAAAAACTGGGTTAAGGGATGGCTGGGAGACTTGCCTTGAAGCTGTGTTTACACAGCAAGCAACACTGTTTTTACTTAAATTGGTGGTGGTGTTTTTTTAAGATCAATAAAAACAGCAATGTTTTTCTAAAGGTGTTTTTATTCACAAGTCACATACAAGTTTTCCTATTTATTAATTGTTTATCTTGGAGGGATGTCTTCAAGAACCATGATAGAGATTATTGGGGAAAGTGGTAAAAGCTGCACCTCCCTACCTCCACAAGTCCCCCAGTCACCATTTGGTGGCCACAGGGTGATGAAGTAGCAAGATCCTTAGCAGTGACAAAGCAAGAAGGGAGAGGACACTCACACAAGGTGTAGCCAGACCCTCTTCCCTTGACCGGAAGGACTATGGTGGTCTACTGCCCACTCATTTTGTGGCCTCTGCAGAGCCTAATACTACTAGGTAATAATAGCTGTTCTATGCTTAGTTGTGTTCAACCTGACTTGTTGCATTTTGACTGTCTCAGCAATTCTAGCAGGAGGGTAGGTATTATGGTCCTCATTTTAAAGAGGAAGCTGAGGCCCAGAACATTTGGGTGTTTTATTCATGCTAGAAAGTGAGGAGGTCAGATTCAAACCCCCATCTGCTGGCTCCAAAGCCCACCCCTTTCACTCCCCACTGGTCTTGTCCTCCCCTGATGGAGTACAGATTTGCAGTTGCTGAGTATCAGACGGTAGAAAAAGCAAACCAGGGATCTCTGATTTATATGATTTTGTGAATTGAAGGTTATTTAAAGTCCAGATTTTGTTCTTAAAATGTTATTTTCAGAATGTTGACAATAGGAAAGCCAAACAATCTTTAATGTCCATGGATGTTACAGCCTGGAGCCAGATAGTCCACCTCTGCTTGAGCAGGGACGGGACATTTGACAGGGCAGTGAAAGTGAAGCCTCCCTTCCCCCAGCAGGGAAGTGAGAATGATGTCAACAGCTGCAGGCCCGGGTAATATGGTTTGGTCTTCATGCCTTCACTCAGGTGGAGCCCGAGAAGTTGAAGACACTAACAGAAGGTTTAGAAGCCTACAGTCGAGCCCGGAAAAGGAACAGAAAGTAAGCAACGATTCTTTTTTCTGCCATTTTATTTTCCACGGATATAATTTACTGGTTTTTGTTCATAGGGACAAGAAAATCTCACTAATTTTATCCACCTTAGGGCCTGCCTAAGTACAGGTCCAAGAGGACCATTATAGTTAAGCCAAATTAGCTACAGAAAATATTTTCTTTTCTTAACAATCTGTACTGTTGTGTGGGATTTCCCTCTTCATGAGCTCTTTCCTCACTCCCTCCATCTCCATCCCTCTTATTTACTGGGAAAGAAACACTCTCGTAGCAATTAAATAGTCTCTAAAAGTGTAGCAAGGGGCGCCTGGCTGGCTCAGTCAGAAGAGCGTGGGACTCTTGATTTCAGAGTCATGAGTTCAAGCCCCCTGCTGCGTGCAGAGATTACTAAAAAAAATAAAACAAAAATAAATAAATAAAATAGAAAAATAAAAGTGTAGCTGAAGTCTATCCCTTTGGGAGTAGGAATGGGGAGAGAGCCCCAATTGTACACAGGTAAATAATTTTGGCAGATTAACTGTTAGTCAGAGTGATGATAAGTAATTCTTTTTTCTTAGGGCAGGAATAGTAGGTTTTCTTTGGAATTATGACAAGAAGTTGTACTTTGAGACATTATTATTCAAGTATTTCTAGATCTTTACATTCTGGGTAAATGTTGTATGGACAAGTAGATAATGTTTGAAACACAGTTTCCACTGTAATACAATGTAGTTTTGCGTATCATAATTATTATTTCATTTTAAGGTAGAGACGTACAAATGCGCTTTTGCATAGGCACAGGGAAAGTTATTCAAAATACATATAATTGACATGCCTGTTCAGTTACTAAAATGTTCATATTATCAAACATCTAAGAATTATGAGATCAGAATGATTAGTAGTGTATCTTGTGTACATAGTGATACCAGTAGTACCTATTAAAGAGCACTCTTTCTCATAGTTGTGCCAGAGATAAAATTTCAGAACTGAACAGCTCTTGGGGGAGACTCTTTATCTCAATAAACTGCCTCGCAGAAAGATGCCAACCACAAGAGACAAACTCCTGTGCCCCTATGTCGGGGACTTCTTTGGAAGATAGCAAGTTGGCACTGATTGTCGTGATGGCTGAGTGAATTGTCAGATTTGCTACAGATACAATAAGGAATAGGGACGAGGCCAGCCCCCTCTACTCTCACCATGCAGAGCTTTGTAGTAGGATAAGGCCCACAAAACTAGTTTTGGATGAAAGGAGGGAAATCGCAAATTACCTACATCACAAATTTGCAATGGGCCATTTGCTATGGAACATTCAACAATACTTGTTTATTTGATGTAAAAGATCCCTAAAATCTTTCCTCCAGTGAGATATTCCAGTTAGCTGAATGATGTGCAAAATATCCAAAACGACTGATAACACAGAAATGAAATAATGCCTCCAAATATTTAAATACACTGCCTTGAAATGAACTGTATTTCCCCCATAAATTTGGTATTAATCAATTTCTGAAAGGTAGTAAGTAATAAATAGCAATTTAAAATTTTTTTTCTTCCAAGCTAGTTTACTAGTTATGGTAAATTTACATGGGTCCTAAGTGGCATTATCTAAAGGAACTGTCATGAAACCATAAGCTCAGAATATGGATTGGAGATGTAAAAGAAGGAACTATGAAGCAAACTTTAGTAAAAACAGCCTTATTTATCATGCTACTGTCTATGCAGACTGGCTTGCCTTATAAATGCCCAGTAGAATACTTTACATTTTGCATATACTATTTAAAATCCATTACTTTATTCTCCCAATCACAAAATGGGCCAGAATTACTAAGCCCATTTATGGATGAGGACACTCAGACCCAAACAGCTTAAATAATTAGCTGAAGGTTATATGGGTGACAAATGATGTATTGAACCCAATCATGTATTTATTTTATTTATTTATTTATTTAATCATTTAGTTATTCCCTAATTTAAGGAGGCTAATTGAGCAAAAATCTGTGCTGCAGTCCCTGGAACTCACTGTTGAGCAAAGGAGACAGATCCAGAAACAATTAAAATGTTAAAATTGCAATGGCAGCAAATGTATAGTATACTTGGGGATCATAGAGAAGTGGCATTAAACTCAGGAAAAGAAAGACTTTCTAGAGGAGATATCTGAGCCAAGCCTTACACACTACATAGCCAGACAAAGGAAATAAGGACCAAGGTGGCGTGGGGTGGGGTAGTGTTTGGATGAGATCAGCAGTTGGATTTGGGGCACTATAAACCCTCAGACAGGAAATTGTAAGAGATGCAGCCAAAGGTGTAAGCAGCAATCAGATCATGAAGAGCTTAGCGAGGGCCCAGAGGATCCTTTATCTTATTGGAAGTGCTTGAGGGGACAGGTGGTTGGATTTTCACTTTAGCTATGGCTATATGGAGGATAAATTTTAGGGGAACCGTATTGGAGACGGGGACATTGTTTAGGAGGACGTGGCAGAAGTCGAGGGAGGATGAGGACTCAAACCAGAACTGGAGCAATGAGAATGGAGGATGAGGAATGTGGTCGAGAAATATTTAGAAGGTAAAATTCACAGAACATCATGGTGATTGATTAGAATGTGGAGGGTAAGCAATCAAGGACAACTTTCAGGGTTTTAGCTGGGGTGACCTTGTGGGTGGTAGAAACACTGACTGAAGTGGAGAATAAGGGGGGGACTGTTGAATACATGTGGGGTGCCCGTGGACTGTGTCTGACACTGGGAAGAGGTGGTATTTGACTATGTAAAATTGGCTGTGATCACCCAGCTTTCACCCATTTGAACAGTGGGCTAAGGACTGAACCATTTGGGCATTTGAACATTTACTAGAGATAATGAAGAAAATGAGAAAAATCAAAAAGGAGGAAGAGAAGGGGGGGCGCGCAGCAGAGCAGGTATTAGAAACCAAAGACCAAAAGCTTCCAGGATAATAGAATGATAAACAGCAGTCCAGTAAGACAAGAACTGAGAAATCTCCTTCGGACTGGGCAATTTAGAGGCTATTGGGCAACCTTAGTGAAAACAGTTTCCAATAAAGTGGAAGGTGTAAAAACAAAGTGTCCATGGTTGAAGAGCAAATAAGTAGGGAGTAGAGAGAGCTGATATAAATTAATTAGGCTTCTTCCTATCCTTAATATGAAAACTTCCTGAAAAATAACATGAAAATGGCAAAGATTTGACTGCTTTTGTAGACAGAGGAAAAGGAGGGAAGAAGCAACTGAAAAAGGAAGGCGGCATTTGGAATAAGATGATTAAGGTTGGTTCAGGGCCTGAGTTCAAATCCTGTTTCCACCACTTTAGAGCTGTGTACCCTTGTGCATGTTGCTTGATATCTCTGAGCCTAAATTCTTCACTTCTAAAATGGGCATATTAATATCTACCTCTTAGCAGCATTGTTATAATATAGATAATTTAAAGAGAGCCTCCACTAAAGAAAAAAATTCCATAGCTTTTAGATTTGTAATAATTTTCACTGAAACGAGGATCAAATCTATCTATACATACATATAAACTTAAAATTTGGTAATCTGACTTTTGTGAAGCTGGAAAGGGATAAAGTGATAAAATAAATCATACTTTCACTTTAAAAGCAAGAAATTATTCTTAGCGTGTTAAATTTTCTTTTTTTTTTAAGATTTATTTCTTTATTAGAGAGAGGGAGAGCGCACACGTGCGAGCACACAGACGAGAGAGGCAGAAGGAGAGGGAGAGAATCCCAAGCAGACTCTCCGCTGAGCATGGAGTCCAAAGTGGGGCTTGATCCTACAACCCTGAGATCATGACCTGAGCCAAGACTAAGAGCTGGACACTTAACCAACTGAGCCACCCAGTTGCCCCAGCATGTTAAATTTTCTTCAATCTTCATACTTTCTCTATTAATTAGGTTTCAGAATCTAAGATTCTTGACATTTAGGTGTCACCCAAATTTATTCTGTTCTACATGAAGTGAGTTGCTTAAATTCTAAATTGAAAGTGTAGAGCAACATGCAATTTTTCATTTCCCTCATTTCTTATACCATTCACAGATGTGTACCTGCCTTTTTTCTCAATTAGTGAAGATAAGGATAATGTGTGACAATATAGGCAGTGAAGAATAGAAGTAGCAGTTATCTCCATTAATAACTAGAAATGTGATTATATGAACATCTATTGCTTAATCAAGTAGGTTTTAGAGTGTCCATTAGTAAAAATGTTTATTATTAAATGTCAGCAGGGAATCGAAAATAGTGGAAGAGACTCCACAGGGAGTCCCTTGGTACTGCAAGACTGAATTTTGACTAATTATTCATTTCATGAACTCATGGAAATTTTTCTTCTTCTTTTAAGTTCATTCTTTGTTGACCGGACCAGTTAGTGTAAAAATTAGTCTGCAGCTTTAACACCTGGGAGCATCTCCCTTTACCTCTTGAATGTCCTGATGCATTCAAGCAATTTCATGCCCCACCTCTCTGTATCTATTCTCTCTTCCACAAGTAGTCACTTCCCCCCTTGTTAACAACTTAAGTTTGTTAAAGGAAAAACACTATTAACTTAGCTTAAATTAATACAAGCTGTTTACAAACATTTTAAACATCTTGTTAAAAATGAGATCACAAAGTCCTAAATTCTCTCTTTTTATTCAGCAAGTAATATTGAATTATTTTTATACTTTAATGGTGATGTTATTGCAATTTTTCATAAATAGGGAAAATTTTTTCATGCCTCTTTGAATTTATTACTTTTAAAAACTATTTGTAGTTAAATATCCATCTTCTTCATTATCAAGTTAGAATTGGTTTCACCAGTTCTCCTAAAAAGTCATGAAGTATTGCATATAAACAGTTGTCATAATGCCTACCTCATAGGCTTGCTGTTAGGATTGAGATAATATATATGAAGATTTAACACAATTCTTGGCACATAGACAATTTTCAATAAATAGTAGCTATTTTTGCTATTAAGATAAAAATGAGAAAACCAAAATTCTTTAATGGTTTTTCATTGAAATGTTTTACCTTCATTTTAGACATTTAGAACTTTACGTAGTTGATTGTAAACCCATATTAAAATAAATATCCATAACATAAATATCTTTTGAAATTTATATTCATACTTTTAAATACAAAAGAAATAGTAAAGATAAATCTATTTAACACATTACTCAAGGTGTAATATTGTTAGGCAACTATTGAGATGTGTGATACTGTCAAGACCCTTGCCAAACAGCCCATAAATGGGGCCCCAACCCAACCCCAGACAAGCTTACATGGCCTACGGAGTCCTGGGATCAGACTGCTCCCCACCCCCACCTCACGTCGCTCAGCATCAGGCATAGCAAATTTCTCACTGGGAAAGCAACCCAAACTGACTCCACAAGATGCTCATGGTCCCTTAAAACTGGAATGGGTAGGTAAATAAAAGAGTGTATGAATAGGTTATAATATCAACTTGGACAGTGCTCAGTGCTTGGACAGTAATAAGGGAGAAAGACAAGTTGCAGAATAGTATATATACCATACCATACCTGATGGACACCTTTGTGTGTATATTAAAAAAAAAAAAAAACATATAAAAGACAATACCAGGTACTGTTCGTGGACATATAAAATATAAAAACAGGGACTCCTGGGTGGCTCAGTCAGTTAAATGTCTGCCTTTGGCTCAGGTCGTGATCTCAGGGTCCTGGGACCAAGCCCTGCTGGGGCTCCCTGCTCAGTGGGGAGTCTGCTTCTCCTTCTGCCCCTCCCCCCGCTTGTGCTCTCACTCACTCTCAAATAAATAAATAAAATTAAAAATAAAAAATATAAAAACATACTAGGAAGATACACAACATAGTTGCCTTTGGCGAAGAGGGGAGGACAGAATGGGATTAGGAATTGATGACAAATGGGAATTTCAGCTTTTTTTTTATTAAAATGACTTAAAGAAAGTAGGTAATTTATTATCAGTTTATTCTTGGAAGTGGGTTTGTTAGGGGTTAATTTATTCTGTGCACTTTTCTGCATTGTTTATATTTCTAAAAATAAAGGGGAAGAATGTAAAAGCTAGAGGCTGGCTTACAGGCCAGCAAAAGGTGGGAAGAAGGAGTTGGTGCTGTATTGTCCACATAATTTAGTTAAAACCATTACATTAACCTTTTTTTTTCTCAGTTAAACTGACTTAAGTTCATATATGTTTCCCAAAATATCGAGACATCGTGTTAGCTTTGGACAAAATTTTTAGTTAGTAAATATGTGGAGCATGCATGATGTGCCTGGCAGTATACACAGAAACTAAATGTGTGAATTGTCCAGTCCCGGCGTATGAGGGTAAAACCTGGTGGGGGCTGTGGTAAACGGAAAGGCCTCATCTAAAGGCATTCCACTAAAGTTCAAATATGTTTTTAAACACGATGTGAGCCAAACTAAATGGGACTATGAGCCAAATTCCTCCACAACTGCAAATTTCCAATCTCTGTGTAGATGCTGAGGTGGGACTTAACTCTTAGAAAACCACGCTGACAGCCTGTTATGAAAAGGTTTATGTAATGGTTATCTCTGCACCTTTTCTAGTAATTGTCATGACAAGGTAAATGAAATGAATCACCTTAGTACTCAGAATAACTGGGTAATTATTTATATGCATAAAAATGGAAAAAAATAAGTTAGAGTAGACAAAGGGTACATAACTACAGAACAGGATAAGATAGTGTGGATTTGCCTGATTTTAAGTAGTTCAACAACTTCCTACAGTTTCAACAGTGGCAGAGGTACCCTTTTGTATTATTCGGGCCACACGTGCTGAGTAGAGAAAAAAATTCAGTGATAGATACTCTGAGATAGTCATTCTTTATCTGTTCAGATACTTAAGTCATTTTGGTTTTGAGGGAAATGTGGTGGGCCCAGGCATGGAGGGAGCCGTGGGCGTGACAAGCGAAGCTGTTTCCCACCTAGAACATGCAACGTGCGTGCTTAGGCACACCAGATTTCAGCCTTCACTTGCTCAACTCTGGAAGCCAGGACGCGTCAGAGAGAGCAGAGGGAGCTCCCTAGTGGCCAGAGTGTGCAGTTCAGCCCCTCCAGCCTCCCCGCGGCTGCATCACCCGGCTGCCAGAAAAGAGAGGAGCGCGAACAGAGGCAATGCAGGGCAGGCTGGAATCCTGGAGGACAAGCTGCATCTCTGCGGGCAAGGAGACGCATGGCCCAGTATTCTTGCAAAAGCATCGGACGGAGGAAGAAGCATGTGGAAGGGGAAAGAATCCATTGTCCCCTATCATGTGTTCCACTTTTTCCTTGTTCAGTGACTTTATTATTAATATTCAGTGGTGAGAATCCCGGAGCGTTTATCATCTGATTTTTCATATATGAATATAAATTGACTTTCTTTGGTGGAATTGGTACTTATGTTTTTTGATTAGGGGATTAAATTGAGACTTTGTTTCCTTAATTTATTAATCTGGTGTGTTCTTTCCATTAATTCCAGAAGTGGAAAGCTAAATAACCATTTAGAAGCTGCTATTCATGAGGCCATGAGTGAACTGGACAAAATGTCTGGGACTGTAAGTTAATTTATTTTTCCATTATACTGTGTTTCTTTGAAAATAAATTGTATTACACTTTTTGGTAAAGTCTCAAATATTGACAAGCAACTCACGTAGCAATACTAAATTAGTAGGCTCAAAAAAAAGACTGATCTCAAAAAAAGACTGATATCAGAAAAGATTCAAAGTAATTTAAGAAAAAAATAACCTAGTAGTATTAACTATGTCTTTTTCTCAGAAATAACTCATTTTTCCCACATAACATATTTTCTAAATGTGAGCAGCACAATATTCCAGCTCAAACCACAGGTTTCTGCGTTTGACTCTGAATAACAGTGGCCACTACTGCTGCCTAAATTGTCAATAATGCAAATTTTGCTTTGGCCATAGAACAAAAAAAGGGAAATTGAACAATAGGGTCAAGATCAAGAGTGGACGGACCTCTTGGACCTCTCATTTCCTTTCTACTGTTACCTAAAAAGGAAAATATTTGGCACAAAATCCTATTGTTAAATTATTGAACACTGTAACCTCTGGTTTTTGAGAGGTTGAGTCTATTCTTTCTTTACATTTGTACTGAACGGTTCATACAATAGTATTGCATGTGAGAAGTTTAATCATTGTCCTCTAATTCACATACTGGCCAGTGTAAACACTCAAAATATAATTTTGGTAATTTCCAAAAAAATGTAAATTATCTAAGGCTATTCAGCAATGAAAGCTAATTTCTTTTACTTTTACTCAACACTTTGTGTTAACAAGGTTATCTGGATCCTAACAACCCATTTGGTGGCTACTGATTGACAGATATAGGTTATAGATTCACAGAATGTTGGGGTTGGTATGGGCTTTAGGGATTTTGTGATCCAACCCATCATTTTGCAGATGGGTGAATTAAGACCCTCAGGTGTTAAATGTCCTGATAGAATTTAGGAAAGGTCTAAAGCAGGGATTGTAAATTTAAACACCTTCTAAGGCCAGGCAAATACTATCAATAAGTAAAGTGAGTCAGCTGTGAGAAAAACAGCAACTAAAGGGGATTGAGAAATGCCATCCAAGAGGTCAGGGTAGGTTGCCTTAGAGGCTCAACACAGTAAAGGCTATTGCTCACTTCAGTGTGGTGCTGGTTGGGGAAAGGCTTGCTGCACACAGTCATTCAGACACTCAGGTTCTTCTTTCTCCATCTAGTGTCCACCATTCCTTAGGGCCTCAGAGTGCTCCTTCATGTCACTTGCATCCATCCAGCAGGTGGGAGAAGAGTATAAGCAGAGGGCTGCCAGGATAGTCTCATCACTTCTGCTGCTTTTCCTCTGGTCTGACCCCATCATATGGGTTTCTTAACTCAAATGGACTGGGAAATGTAATAGATGACGTGTCTTTTCAGGATGAAGAGAAAATGGGTTTGGTGAGCATCTTGCTGGTCTTTGCTGCAGGACATTTGGCCTTTGTGGCCATCAGGCAGTCAGGACTGGTGGGAATTGTGGCAACCTGGAGACCATGCTCTCTCCAGAAGGAGCTTCTTCCATGCTCCAGCAGATCTCAACCGTATGGGAAATTATGCCAGAGTTGCAAGCTCTTCCAATTTTTCATAAGACGCTAAAAGTCTGGAATTGAAATTTCCCCATTTTTTTTTTTTTTTTTTTTACTGTTGACAACGATTTTTTAAACATTAAAACATCATACAACTAAACAAAATACCTTTTCGGGCCACATTTGTTCCACAAATTACGAAGACTTGTTTTCAGTCTTGAATAGTCTTCTTTCCTCAATTATAACAAGTTTTCAGTTATGGCTCTTCATCAGAAACTAGTGGTTTTAAAAAATGTATATGGACAGGTTAGGAGGAAGAGGCAGTTTGAGAAACTTATAAATGTTACTTTCAAAATTTAATTATTTTAAAGCTTTTTACATTTGACTTTGAGTAGCATTGGCCTCTGCTGTGTATCTAAACATTATTTTTAAAATGTACAATTAAGTCAACTTGTAGTGGACCTTGAGAACTGATTGGGCACCTCTCCTAACTATGAGTCGTGACATTATGTTGGTAGCTTTGAAATTGGCTATGGTGGAAGTGTTTACACCATGGAAATTGGCAAATGCTACAATAGGCTTTTGTCCCTCCACAGGGAGCTGGTTTTTAGGCATTAGCTACACCACTGCCTTGGGACTAGCCTGCCTTTCCTAGGTCTTGATCTTGCCCTCTCCTCTCAGTAGCCACATACAATGTGGGGCACTACACCTACTAGTACCTGTCCTCTGCCCCTCAGAACCATACCTGCTGTCTGATACCTGGTGATCGTGCCCTGCCATGCTCCACCCCTGCCCAGTCTGACACACAGCCCTAATTGCTACAGTTTCTTCATTAGCATCTACAGATGAGTTGTACTACTTGCTCATCCCAGACTTTACAAGCTCAGATCTGCCAATAGATGGTAGTGGTTTTCTCATTTTCACTCCGCAAGTCTTCTCAGGAATAAACTTCCTTGGGCTGAGCCATGTGCGTGGTCTTACCACGGTTCTGACCCTCCTTGGTAGTTGTAAAATAAGTCGGGTGACGAAGGAAAGAAGAAAACATGTTTGGTATGTATCTTTCCACTTTTCTAGACTCTACTGAAATTGGTGATCTAGGGATCGCCAACAGGAAAGGCTTTATTTCTGTCTTAAGTGGGCAGCAGGGGTAGCAATGGCACACTGCATTTTCCACACTTGATTTTCTCTGGTTCCTCTTTGGAGTCCCACCGTTTATGGGGTTCCCACGGTGTTGTTCTGCTTATCAGTTCCTAGGATTCCTCCTTCTCTGTAGTGACTATGGGCACGCTGAGATCTGGGGTCTTGACAGAAAATGTAAATGCCCCATGATATCAGTGATTGAAAAGGAAAGGTGGACTCTATTCTTTCCCCTGTTTCTTTGTCAGAAATTGTATGGTGTTTGTACTTTCAACCTCTGTTGTTGTTTTTTTTTTTTCCACCTCTTTATTTCCAGGTTCACCAAATCCCACAGGGAGACAGACAAATGAGACCCCCCAAACCCAAGAGGAGGAAGATCTCCAGATAACAGGGACTACTCCACCAATGCGCAGTGTTTATTAAAGGAACGTGCACAGATAAATCTCTCTATAGATAGGTATTGATATATCCACTGTTATATCAGTATTTATGCTATGGCAGATCGCTACCACCACCACAGGGTGCTAAAAGAAACAGTGATACAATATTTTTTTGAACAGGAAAGATAAAGAAGGCTGGAAAACCAATCAAAACCCCTGACTGATGAGAGTGATAAACGGTCAAGAGATTACTGAGAAACTTTTTCTATAATGCTAAAATTGTGATTATAAGAAATGTCCAAATGTTTCGGAAGACTTTTCAATGTTGTATATAGAAAATACAGAATTTCACGGTGACATCAGAAGTGTAAATATTGTACAATATTGTCATGTACAAGCGTACCTAATGCACACTTTATCTTTTATTGTACAAAGAAATAGTGTACAAAATTCTTTGGTTTCTATGGAGTACACCTACCAGAGACTACCAGTGTAAAGTGATAAATAAAAATACAACCTAAAGGCTTTTCTATGATAATGTAACAGATGCTGTTTTTGTATTTAACAGCAGAGAAAAGGCATGATGATGTAGTACCTGAATGATGACATACACTGCACACCACCGAGTGTCCATTTATATTGTCTGTTTGGAATGAACCTTGCCTGGCAGCACTGGACTCGATTTCGGGTGCCTACGAAATCAAAACCTTGCAGATTTCTAAAGGGATGAGGGCTCACAGGTCTAAATTAAGAATTCAGAAACTGCAACCATTTGTTGCATATTTTTTTTACCTAAGTTTTAAAGTAGAATAGGTTTTATAAAAAAAATCTTAGATGGAGTATTTTACTCAGTCATTTCTGTAGTTAACGTTTGATAGCCACCTATTGATCTAGCTAGCTTATGCTGCACCACCATTGACACTCAGAGTGGAATTTGTTTGCAGACAGTACCTGACAAGATAAAACTCTCTGTTTCCATACATGGAGGCAAAAGCCCCACTTCGAAACCATTATCAGAAGTAAGGTTGATTATAATTCAGTTTTTTTGTAGTGGCAAGAAGAAATACGAATCATCAAAGCAGGTTTCATAGCCATTCATCAGTGTTACTAAGAAGTGAAGGTGGCTTACAAAATTATTAGCAATGGTAATTTTTTATCAGTATTATGTAACATATCAGATTTATTTTATTTAAAGAATTATTTATACCATTAACAGATTCTTATATATATTAATGTGGCTGAAATGTGCAGGTTAAATCTATTAACCAAATTATTTATATTATATTAAGTAAGAAAAAATGTGAAACAAATGTAGAGAGAAAATACTACATTACAAGTATACAAACCTAAAACTGTGAGCCATTGTAAAGTACAAGGTTATTAATAAGAAATGTAGCACAACATAATCTTCCGTCTTTTTTTCACAGTTTTTGTGGTGGTGGTCTAACCCTATCTCCCAATCACTTGAGTGAAGTTTCAGGCCTCCAGCCTGACTTCCATTAATGGATTGTCAAAAGAAGGGATCCATTATCCCTTTATTCTTAGAATCACCAGCCCGCACCCCCAAACCCTTAAACCCCCAGAGCACTCCCTGCCTTGTCCCCTAGCCTGGGGCTCACTCGACAGCTTAAACCTCCAGTTACTGGGAGCCTTTCGACAGCAGGCTCCAGACCCCCAAATGCCCACCACCTCTGTTATCTTTCCTCTCTCATACAGCCCCCATACTCCTCAGTCCCATGATGTAGCAGAGTCCCAGTAACTCAGGAAAAAGGAGACCAAGGTCATTCTTCCAGTTGGTTTCTTGGGGCCACAGCACAGAGCACTCCATCTGGGCTCACTTTTGATAGCAACAGCTCTCAGCTCTTCCCCCGGTCTCCTGTGTCTCCCTGTCCTTCCACTCCTATCCTCACCCCTACCCCCAAGCCTGATGGAATGCAACTGGCTACCCTGGGCTTCTCGGCCTGGAGGCAGGAACCCTTCCTTCTGGGGGTAGGTTCATTGTGTCTTTCATGTAACCATGGGATTGCCTGCCAGTCCTTCCCATGCAGTCACCCCGAGTCATCTTTCGCATAGTTTGTTGATATGTCTTTGTGTGTTCGGTATGTTTAAACCATAGATGTCCTTTTTTTTAAATTTTTTGCCACCAACCTGCTTTTCTACTGTTTCGTCTACATGGTTGGGTTGTTTTTATTCCCAGGTAGACACATGTGTGTGTTTGTGTGTTGCAGTGTCTGCATATGTGTGTGTGTGTGTGTGTTGATATGTAGAAGTTTTTTAGCCCTTGCTGTCCGTCTTTAGACTGAGTTTGTGTCCACCGAGCCTTCTTTTAGATAGTTCAAGCTAATTAGGTGTGTGCTTCCCCACCCATGTGCACTTTACATCAGTAGACCATGTAAAGTATGTTTGTGCCCATGATTTCACTGGTTCCTTACGGCTTTGATGTGGATGCTAGGTGTTGTTGTTTCAGTCCACACGGGCTTTTTTCCCCTCTCTTTTACAGTTCTATGGTTTCATGTAAGCAGTTAATGTAAATATTGTTAACATTACAGGTCATGCAGTGCTGTAACATTTTTTTAAATGTTGCACCTACTTTACAATTAAAAACTTGGTCACTCATACTTGAATTTTGCCCATAGAGCCATTTCTTTCTCTTTGTATTGAAGCCAGTTCATTTTTTTAAAAATGAAGGCTAGCCCTTCTACATTATTACATTTTTTATTCCCTAAAATAAGCAAACTCTTTTTTTTCCCCCAACAAATCTGACAATGGAAATAATGAAAAATTTTTGCTCCTTTAAAGAACATAATATCCCTCTTGGAAAAGAAAATCTGATTTTATTTTGTGTCCCTTAACAGTCTTAGGAAGCACAAGGAGAATAAACTACACCTTTAAGTAATTTTTAAAAACTATTTCAAATGAATGAAAATTAACCGAGCAGCTCTTGTTTGATTTGTCTCATTTGTTGCATTAATAGCTATCAGGGGTTTTATTTATTTAAAGGAATATTTTTTGGTTTGTAGTTTTCAGTCTCATTGTGAATGTAAATGCTTTAAAAATATTCATCCCTTGTGAGATCATGGGCCACTTTTAGTCTTGTATTTGGACCCTGACTTTGAGTTATTTGCAATGTCTGTTTTTCAAGTAAACACAATCTTCTTCTTTTTTTTTTTTTTTATAACATAACACTGCACAATTGTGGGAACAGCAGAGGGCTGTTATTTTGTTTTCTGTAAGTTTTATGAAGATTCCCAACTGACTTATCCCATGAGGTGACTCCTTTTTCATTTCAGACCATGATAACACATTTTAGTTAACTTTGATAATCTTCTCTGCAGTTTGCAGTGTGTTCTTGTAAGTCACAAGTGGTTTTGTCCTGAGATTTTAAAAATCTAAAATGCTTAAGATGCTGGTGACATTGCTCTTTCTGACGAGAAAGCCAAGATTCTAGACCTTACTGAAAATCTGATACCTTGTTTACTTTGCCCATTTATGCCCAAATGGTGTAACACAAGTCTCAAGATTTTTCAAATGTAGTGTATAAAATGAGTTGTGCATTACTTGATTCATTTGGGGGCTATGAAAAAATGACATCAACCAGCCAGAACTGTAATATTGAATTAATTTATCTTTTTCTTTCATTCACTCTATCACATTTGCATTAGCCAAAGAGATAAGAACATTAGTAATTCATACGTGTAAACAACCCAGAAGTGAATATTAAATCAGTGAGCCAAAAAGCAATAAACAACTCAAGCATGGGAAATCCTGCTAACAGTGGGGAGTCTGATACAGAAAAAATATATAAAAAGCATTATCTTCAAATATGAAAGATTAATTTGTATCTACTGTAAATATGTATTATCAGCCTTATCTGCTTTTATACACACTGTGTGTGTACCTCAGCGACCTTTTATAAACCGGAAAAATGGTTGATTTAATAATTTGTTATGTAAATACAAAGTTGTCTATAAATTGGAAAATTTGATGCCAGATGGCTTCACAATATACAAATGTGTTTTGTAACATCATGCCTTTATGGATTAAGTATAAATACACTGGATTGTCTGTGTAGAAGAGTAGCAGTTTACATTTCACCTGCATTTCAAGTGGATATTTTTGTCCAAATGGTTATCTTATTAGGAAAAGAAAATGACCTGAACATATTCAATGTGGAAAACAAATATGGTTTTGAATTCACCAAAACTTTTCACACTCGAGGGTCTGTTCAATTCCATCTAAATGCTGTTTATTATATTTCCATAGGAGATTCTTTGATCCAGGACTGGGATCTACCCAGGAAACCTCCCCAAATGGAATTATTCTACTTTAGAAACAGGCTGTGCATCTTAATTTCTAAATCATAGGCTGGGGAAGAGCCACAGCCTTCTTACTGCTTTTTATCTTGGTTTTTTTTCTGCTTTGTTTCCACACATCTTGGAAAGCACTACGCAGATAAACAGGGCCTAGTTCTTGTGCACCAGGGTGTCTACAGAGTGACCTCAATGCAGGGCTTCTCAACCCTAGAACTATTGACATTTCGGGTGAGATCATTCTCTGCTGTGGGGGCTATCCTGTGCATTGTAGGACCTTTGGCAGTCTCCCTTGTCTCTACCCACCAGATGCCAGTAGCATCCCTTCCAAATTATGACAATCAAAAATGATTCTAGACATTGCCAAATGTCTCCTGGGGGTGGGGTGTGGGGAGTGGAGGGTGGGAGGAGGGGACAAAGTGAGACTTAAAAAACACTGCCTTAACGGAATCAGTTAGGGAACATATGTCTGTGTGAAATACTGGCATGTTTTGCATACTGTAATCAACAGGAAACTGATTCCTAGATCAAAATCCAAAACAAAACCCATGCCAAAGTAGCGCTTCTCAGTCCATCATTAAGGAAGTGAATCCGTTAGCTTCAGCTTCATTTTGAGCACATTTGATACTCTCTTTCATAAGCCTCAAGACAGTCATGTTTTGAGAAGTCCCATGTAGGGCTTAGGAAAGTTACCTAAATAACCTGATTCAGTTTACAAGAAGACGAATAGCCCACTTTGGGTGTGTGTAAGGAGCTTCAGTGAGCGGAAGGCTGGTTGCCTGCCTTGGGTCAAAATGAGGACTTTGGCTGCGGGGGACCGTGCTATGTATATATTTTAACAGCTCTCTAGCAGCTGGTTCAGGTAGCAGTAGTTTTTGCATGATCCTCCTATAAGTTTTGATGGAAGCAGTTCAGTAGATCTTGGAGATATCATTAATCTATTTATTCATGTAATAAATATTCTTGAATTCCTCCCTATGCCACACCCAGTGCATAGCAGTAAGGATACAGTGGTGAATAAGACAGACCCCCTTCTCTGCCCACACAGAGCAGCCCAAGTTGCTGGCTAGTGGCACATGTAAGTACAGTAAAGTGTGACCAGGCCTGGGCTGGGAAGCACAAGGCAGGCCCCTGACCTAGCTTAGTGAGGACCCCAGGAAAGATGAATAGGATTCAGGCAAAGGAGAAGTGTGTGTCCTGGAGAACGGTAAGGGAGTGTGTTGGTGTTCTGGGCCCACCATAATTCTTCATATTACATTTGTTGAGCAAGTTCCATCCCAGTCTTGAGGTACGTATATAAATCTATATGTGTAAATTCGCTTTAATAATCCTAAATGAGTGCTATGCAGCATGCTTATAGTTATTGCCAACAGCATCAATTCCCTGTTTCCTTCCCACAAATTAGTGCTGTATTGGCAGACCAATAATGGTTCTACTTTGATGATCCGGGGCTGGGGAGGTTTAAAATCCCCAAGCATTGAAGTGTTGAAAAGTGTTAAAGTGTTAGAAAGTAAGGCCTGCTAACCAGAATGCACAGGTAAGTGTAGGTCAGGTATAGATCTTTGGCAGGCCAACTGCTTCCTACGTACCTCCACCGGGAAACAGGAAGCTGCACGGGAGCCCACAAGATGCCACAGGTGCCAGGGAAGCACTGAGGGTTGAAAAGGCACCAGAAAGTGGACTACAGGGAGTTGGGGGCCGGGACAAGGCCATCTGGCTACAGGGACCTCTGCCCCACAGCAGGAGAGACCACAATGGTCTTTCATCATCCATTCCAGCCCAATATTATGCACATACCCTTGAAAGTATCCCCAACTACATTAATCACCTCCTACATTCAATGAACATTGAACATAAGGGCTTTTTAAAGCTAATTATCAGTTAAAAAAAAGAAAATCACACAACAGAGGCAGTGTAATAACAGGCATTCAATCCTATGATCCAGAGTCCAGCAAATAGCCCTTCCCAGGAGCATGGGGTCCTGCACACAAAAGATGGACCCTCAAGAGGGAGGCAGCCCATTGTAACCTTTACAAACGGGGTCCTGGAGAGGGATCATCTACAGTCAAATATAGACTGTGCCACTAACTCATTGAACTTTGGGCAAGTTATTTAAACTACCTCTGCTTAACTTCATCTACAAAAGGGGATTATAGTAGCACTTCCCGCATGGGGTTGAGGATCGAATGAGATAATGCAGACAAAGTTCTTAGTGCTGGCACAGAGCAGACCCTCAGAGAATGGTCATTGTTAAGCTGCCCCAGGAAAGATCTAGATCAGGAAAGGGAACTTCCAGCCAATGAAAAGTGTCACACATAAGGAGGAGTTGTGTCTAGAGTTGCTGTGTCTCTCCAGGAAGCCCTTAAAGGTAGGAGAATGGTATTTACCTGTCCGAGGCAGCTCTGCCCAAAGCAAACTGTCATGGGGGCCTTTTCCGGTTCTCCTGGTCCAGCCCTGAGCTTCTGGAGCTTCTGCCCAGGGTGTTTCTTAGATGAATTCGACTGTCCAAAACGCCACATGCAGACATGGACCTACAAAATGGTTTTCTAATAAACTGGTCTGGAAAATGATTTCTCTGAGAAGTGAACTGCATTGACCATGGCAATCAGAGCAGAAAGAGAACTTCTAACCCTCAGCCTCAGAGTGAAGTCAGGACCGGCTCTTCAAATAAGTAGCTCAAGGAATGAAACATTTAAATGACTTAAAATCCATCAAATCTGGGAATGCAGAGCTTAGTACAGAAAAGAGCATGTTTAACTTAAGAGACTAAAATTTGGGGTCCCAGTCCTTACCACTGACTCCATGATTTAAGACAAATCACTAAAAAGATCCTGGGGCCAGACTCCTAGGATGTGAAACCAGTTATTCAGGGGCTATGTGACCTCAGGCAAATTACCCTCCTGGTGCCTTAGTTTGATCATCTGAAAACTAAGGGATAATAGAATCATCAGTGTGCTTGAGGATTAAATAAACCAATCTTTGTGAAGCACTTAGAAGAGTGTCAGGCATAGAGTAAATACTAAGCAAGTCTAGGTATTGTCATTATTATTACTGCTAATAATAGGGGCTGAGCCTCACTGGCTTCCTCCATCCACAGATGGGAATGACTGAGCCCTTACTTGTCTTAAAGAAAGATCCAGTCTTCTGTGGGATGATCACTTACGAGGGTCCTGCTAGTCATATTTAGCCATTTATTTGTCTTCCCTGATTTAAATGTGGGTGCTCTTGAGAGGAGCAAGACTTTGAACCAAGCAATACTCAGGAAGTTCTTAAAAGATTTGAGAATATGGAGGGTGGGAGGAAGGTGTTCTTAACTATCCTAGAGTTAGCTGTTCTCGGAGGACTAACAAGACAATGAAAAGAAACAATACACTGAAGCATGCTTTCAAAAGGGGAGAGGAAAGAACAAAGAGTCTGAAGTGGTAGTATTTTCAAGTGCTATTAAGAATTATTATTTATTTTTAAATTGGAAGTCTAGGTCTAAATATTCTACCTAGACTTCTCAGGACTACGAATTCTTAGTCACTGCTGGCTTAAAGAAGGGGCAGAATTTGTTAGACACGGATAGAGTAGATTTAGCTAAATACTTAGGTCCCAGGGGCAGGGCCTCTTTAGGGTTTCCGGTCTGTTCAGCATCCTGGGCCGCTGCAGAACAACGCATGTGGGAAAGGGACTAGGGGGTCTAGTTGCCAGGGGCTTTGGTCCCTGGACTGTGATTGACTCTCCCCAGAACATAGTTTTTCCCTGCCAAGTTAATCTTAACTAGCTTTAATAATTAGGGAAGATATCCTTAGGAAATCTGCGACCTTTTACAGGCTCTGTCCCCCTTTTCCAATCAAATGGAGATTATCTAGAATCAATTAAGTTCCTTCAAATTTCAAAACAAGCATGGAGGCTCAGGAGCCTGTGATTTCAGGCTGAGTCTCACTGTTCTGGTTTATTTGGCAAAGAGTGGGAAGCAAACATTCACAGGAGCTGGAGAAGAAAGCGTGTGAGAATTGGAGTGGGGAAATGCACTGGCTTGCTCTGGATAAGCTGTCGGTCTGAGCAAGAGCCACCAAAGGCAAGAGAGACCCTTCCCTCCCCTTTCTCTTTGCTTTCCAGCTCTTCCCAAATGTCCGAAGCGATTACAGAGCAGGTGGGGCATCCTGGGAGGAGAGAAAGTGCGTGCATTGTGCTTCTGTGCTTCACAAGGCAACCAGGTCAGCCAGAAGAGATCAGGCCATGGTGACGGCCATCGCGAGGAGCTCATAGCTTTCTGAGTGGAGAGCAAAATACCAGAGAGGTGTGGCATGGATTTCCTTATTGTGAAACAGTGGTTTCCAAACTCTGAGGACATACTATATACAAATGTGTGTGTGTGTCTGTGTGTTCTGTGTGTACTACTGAATTAATTACATATGTGTGTAATAAAACACACAAAATTGAAATTAAGAAACACTGAGATGAACTGAACAGAAATAGAAGTGTTCTTTTTCCCTCTCTCACCCCAGCGGATTTTCTGACACTATGCCTGGGGCATGAGCATCCACCTTCAGAGATCACCCTAAGTGACAAAACACTGGGAAGTCAGAATATGTTGCTTCAGTAAGCAAAAGACAGTGATGGAACTGAACCATCACAGGGAGCTCCTGAAGGGGGACCCAGTTTCTCTTTTTTAACTTTCTGTGCTCAAGTCTACTTAACTGGTAAAGGAAAGAAAGCATTCCTGGATATCTGATAACTAACATGGAATCCATGTTTTTGTTAGGTGAATAACCTCAATCTTTCTATAAGTTCAAAGTGTCTATTAAATATGTCTGTTTGGATGTGAGACAAGTCACTGCCCGATTCTGTCACCGGCTCAGGACAGTTGCCGACCCAGTGTGCAAGAGCCTGACTGGAGGCCCGGTGCTGCCTGTACCCCTCGTGGTGGGATGAGCGGGCACACCCATGCTCACAGACCTGGGTCAGGCACCCTCACTGTGCACGTGCACATGTACTCCATGCACTCCCAGGCTCGGGAATGTTCTGGGGCTTTCTTGACAAGTAGCCAAGGTGTGTAGTTCTAGGCAGCCAGTTCATAAGGTTATGATATTGTGGAAAAAGAGCTCAACTGGGTTCTAGTCCCAGCTCTGCTGTGTGACCTTGGGCAAGTGCCTTAACTTCTTTCAACCTGAGTTTTCTCATCTGTCCCCAGGGGAGCTGGTATCACACCACCTGCCCCACAGGGTTATCACAAAGTTCACGTGAACATACCTATGCAGGCATTTTGAGAATAGCAAAACATAGTACAAAGGAAGTCATAAGGTATTCAGATCCAAGTGTTAATGTCTTTTCAAGGCATAAAGACAAACTTTTCCTAGTAATCTTGGACTGAACTATCCTGTGGAACTTTCTATTGAGGAGCCCAGCTCAGAGGGAAATTGGCTCATGGTGGATTTCTCATCTGAACTCAGAGCCATAGAGGTTTTATAAGCCTAAAGAATGAACCAAATGGACAATGATGACTTCTAAAAATGTGGATACATTTCCATACTTCCAGATAATGCCAAGATTTCAAAGAGATGTCATTTTTTTGTTCATTCATCAAGTATTTATAGAGCATCTTATCTCTGAGATAAAGTTAAAAAGGCCCCTCCCTCAAGGGCTCCTGTTCCAGTGAATGAGGAAGGCCTGTAAACAATCATTGCCATACATTGACAAGAGCCACTGCAAGGTGTGAATTAGGAAGAGCTTTGGAATACTGGGAGATTTAAATATTGGGGAATCAGGTTAAGTGACTTATGGAAGAGTAGAAATTCAGGCATTGCCAGCAGGGGTGAAGGACATTAAGAGAGAGGGAATGAAGTGAAGGCCAGGGGTTGGGTGAAGGATGGAAAGGGGTAGCGAACAACATGAATTTCTGGGAGTTGTGAGGCACTCAGTAAGTCTTGACTTAATTTCCAAAGGAGACAATAAGCCCAGAAAGTAAGCAGAAACCAGCTCATGGTGGAAGTGGGGTGCTGGCAGATCTTCTAGGCCAGCAGAACATGGAAAGCTATTTGAAACATTTTACATCAGATGAGCAACAACCACTTATCTATACACATATCAACAAATATTTATATTTATTGTGCACTTAGCATATGCCAGCACTACTCTAGGATACCCTGGTCAATATGACTGCCATGTTCCTACCCTCATAGAGTGGATAGCCCAGGGTCAAAGACAGACACCAAAAAATTATTAGTGTAATGAGTATTAAGATGGCCATAGCATTCTATGCCACCATATAATAGTTGTTTTAGAAAGGTCACTCTGACCACAGCATAGGTCAGATAATTTTTCCTATCCTCCTGGAAAATGCCAAGAGTTCAAGTTTTCTCTACTGACCTCAAAGTAAGAACCCAGCTGCTCTCTGAGAAGCTCAATCAAGATATCATTGACCCCCAGAATTAAGGCATGGGGAATGGCCAGGTTAAGGTCAGCAACTTAAAAGGGTTACATTTAGAACCCAGAGCCATAAGGTTGGAATCAAAAGCTTGTACTGTAGCTCTCAGCTCTGTTCCTGTTTGCCCATGTAACTTGCAAGTCACATCAATCACTGGGCTTAATAATTTTAAGGGAATAATAGAGTTCTTCTCAGATTAATGTTCTAGGACTCTATGGAAGAGGGCTAGTAATCAGCATGTTCTAGCTAATTCGTGTTTACAAAGAAGACTTCGGCTAGGGCTTTCTGTGTTAATCTTTGTCAGATCTACCTACCCATGGACTGACAATGAGGAGACAATTTCTTGAAGTACTTTCTCTTTTTTTTTTTAGTTTTAACTTTAATATATAATTTTTATTTTTTAATATAAGTTTTTTATTTTGAAGCACTTTCTCCATATAACTTGCCCCCACCCCCAACATAGTCCTGCACTTCACACTGTCCTTCTTGTTGGATGGAATTAAATCAAACAGATGGGGTTACAAGGAACAATCCAACTGATGTGTACGTGTTGTCCTTATACCTCACAGCAGGCTATTAGCTCCCTCAGACTGGATTTTGCCTTTCTCTTTTTTCACTACAAAAGATTTTATGAAGCACAACTCCTGAGGCAGGAAGATAATGTTTTCTCCATGACCAGAACAACAAGCTACATAGGATGAGCTTTGATGGGCACCAAAACCCCTTACCAGCCCATCCTCGGTGTCTGTAATTTCCATGGCCAAGATTAACATCCCCGTGAGATCAAAGAAATGACCTGACAGCCTGATAATTGTCACGAGGATGACAGGAAAGATGGGGGTGGAGTAGCTCAGTGACACAGGGAACATTTCAGGGAACAAAATGGTGGTATACTTGTCAACGTGCCTAAAAATGATGCCACTTAGATGATGACATGAAACTCATATGTTGTTCTACATCTATGAAACTCACTCAGTTTTTAAGCTAGGAGATAAGAACAAAGAACATAAATGGCAACTCCTGTCAAGACTCACCACCACCATGTACCCCTCACCTGTGTGTGCCTACCCCGACCTCAGCTAGATGGCTATCATTTGAGATCTTGTTTGTAGTCAAACA